TTCAAAATTTCAAATCTTCAATTAACAAATATCTTACATTATTCTATTGCTAATATAATTCAATTATTCTTTCCACATTTCTTTTGTATTCTTTTTCTGTTTTTTACTTCTTATTAACAACATCTAATTAAAAATACCAGAATGCAAACGACCTTTAATGATAATATATTCTAAACACGTTTCTAAGCATTATATTGGAAAGATTTAATAGCTTTTTTTTTTTTTTTACAAGACTTAAAGAAAAAGAGTCAATGTGTTAGATAAGATCAATATAATAATCTTTACAAAATGTATTATTATTATTATTATTATTATTTATTAATTACTTTAATCATCTAGTATCAAATTAGCATTTAAAAAGAAAATAACAAAAATATACAAGTTGTACTGTAAAATTCATGATTGGTGACAAACGAACAAGTGAGATATTTTTTACCAAAAAAAAAAACCAATTGTTAATTAATAATGTATAATACAATTCTGTAAATATATCATTCTATTTTAGAGATAAATAAATTGAAACATTGCTTGTGACACTGCAAACTATAAAAAAAACTTGTTTGATAAACATAAATGTAAGACTGATACAAAAGTTATTATATATTAACAATATTTTTTAAACATATTACAAAACAGAAGAATGTTTTTTAAAATATTCTAAAGTAAACAGTAAAAATGCATTGAGTTGAAATGAAATGGTTGTACAGTTACTTTGTAATCTGTTTTTGATACCACTGACTTAGTTTTTCATACAGAATTACCTTTACACTTACTTATACCAATAATTACAGAACACCTTGTAAACTCATTATATATACAGTTAATATAAAATTAACAAATAAAATAAAACATAAAAAAAAGTTATATACAATTAAGTATAAAAGTATTTGCATAGTAATAACAATAATTTCATACCACACTACTTCTATGCAAATACTTTATTCTGTTACTGTATATATGTAAAAAAAAACAAAGAATATTATGAGTTAAAATGAAATGGTTGTACAGTTACTTTGTAATCTGTTTTTGATACCACTGACTTAGTTTTTTCATACAGAATCACCTTTACACTTACTCATACCACTAATTACAGAACACCTTGCAAACTAATTATATATATACAGTTAATATAAAATAAAAAATAATACAAAGTTATATATAGTTAACTATACAAATATTCGCATAGTAATAACAATAATTTCATACCACACTACTTCTATGCAAAGACTTTATTCTATTACTGTATATAAACATAAAAATAGTATAAAAAGTGATTAATAACAGTTAAAACTTATGAAACATTTCCACTTGTTCATAGTCAAATGGTTATAAGAATGTTTGCCAAAGTGACTCAACAAGAACAATCTTTAACATACATTCTATTCTTAAATCCTTACTTGATTAATTATTAATCATTACTTTATATTCGTTATATAATGTCAATCATTATTTCATAATATTCTTGCTACTATAATAAACCAAAGTAAATCCAACTGTATATAATCTAATCAAATACTCATACTTATGAGAATAGTTTAATGCATTATTTAAAATCATCATAAATAATACATGTTAAATAATTCCTAATGCTATTCTAATATAAATAACTAAATTATAAAATATAATTGAAAAGAACTAATTATAATAAATGAAAATATTATGATCATTAAATATGAAATGTCTGATTTTAATGTGAAAATAATACGAATAATCAAACATTTCATAGTTAATTATAACCTAATAATAAACATATGCATTGTAAATAATTCATTCAAAATTTTCAAATAAGACAATAATATAATTAATAAAAATAAATAAAAAAAAAAAAATAAATGCAAATAAAACAACAATAATAAAAACTCACCGTATACGATGCTGAATATTTTCTAAAACAATTTTGGTATGATCCAAAAAGACAAGTAACTCGTAGAAAATGTTCAAGTTCCAAAGATTCTTGCCTGTTGAACCTGAGGACGGGTTGCGAATCACAGAATAGTTGGAGTAAGAAAGATAGGAAGATAGAAAGAAAGTAAGTAAGAAAGAAGGAAAAAGAAAAGAAAAATAGAAAGAGAAAGAGAGTAGAGTTTTTAAGAGAGAAAGAGTAAGGAAATAGAGAATGAGAATGAGTGTGAGAGAGATAGAAACTCGTAAAATCGTGGTTACGCAACACGCAACTGGTGGCACACACGCGACGCAACACGATCGAAAACAAAACGTCAGTGTCGTGTCTTCCTTGTCATCTGATTTCTTCTTCTTCTTCTTCTTATTCTTATTCTTATCCTCTTCCTCTTCTTCTTCTTTTTATTTTCTTTCTCTTCTTGTTATTCTTCTTATTTGTTGGTGCAACTGCACACGATATAAGGACACACGGGTTTGAAAGATAACCAAAAAAAAAAAATAAGAAAAGTAAGAATAAAAGATATGATACGCGAGATAGAACAAAAAAATAGATAAAATAAGAAGATAGAAACGACTAATAAGAGAAAAAGAGAAAATAAATTCAACTAGAGATTACGAATGCGTGATCGTAGTGCATATATATAAACGCGTCACTATTTTCACGACGAACCACCGTGAGCTTTCACAATAATAATAATGTATCTATATGATGTATTCATGTATATACTTGTGCAGAAATAACAAAGTTGACAGCTGCATGAAGTAAGAAAAAGAAAAACAAGCTATTTTTTAACAGAACATTCAACGTGCCTACACTCGTCTGCTACGCCATCCGCACTGCCAACCGCATCACCGTGTCAATTCGTCTACACTACGATACCGAATAACTACCTTCGGACGTTTCCGTCACCTCCTCGGCTAAGACACGAACTAACAAAGCGCCGCGCGCAGCGCCACCATTCAAAGTGCTATCTACCGATGCTATTACGAACTTTTTACTCGATAAACATTACTTGTCGATAAGTTAGATTTTTATCTATTTTAAATAAAATTAATTAAATGTATTTTTTTTTTATTAGACTAATTGCACGATCGACAATATAATAATTTTTAGTTTTGTATTTTTTATTTCAAACGAGATATGTAATTTATTTTATTTAAAGAAAGAAATATTTTATGTTAACGAGATATATTTTTTAACGAGAATATAATTAACGAATGGCAATGGAAAAATCTGTTTTATTTGAATATTTTTACAAACAAATCTCTCTAAAGTTGAATTGAAAATAAATCAAGAACAACAAAATTAATATATATCGATAACGTATGTAATCTCGATAACAATAATCGCATGATTTCTCGATAAATACGAGTAATCTTATTTACAAGTAATAATTTATTTTTGAAACATAGTAACTCATATCAAACATAATTCTACCGTTTCAAAGTACTTCCTAACATACGTGTATTAATTCGAATCGTTTAGATAATTAACAAACAAAAAAAAAAGAAAGAAAGAGAAAGAAGACGTAACCACGTCGAATCGCTTATTTTCTAAGCATTGAAGTCACTGAACATACGTACCAAGTGATTCGATAATTTGCATGTTACCAAGAATTTGTGTGCTAAGTTTTTTTTTTTTTTTAATTTAAACACAATTATATTGTAATAAAAAAATATATCTATATATAATATTTATATTAAATATAAACAATGATATATATATACAATATATACAACATATTGGGTTATTTGGAAAGTAATTAGTAAAAAGTAAAAGTAAAGATAATTTTAAAATATCTATACGTTTTTCGTATAGATATCTTGATTACATTGTATTTATAACAAACAAGGAAACAATTAATGCAATTTCATCGAGAAATCGACTGTAATTGAAATTGAAATAAATAAATAAAGTACAAAGATTATTCAAATAAAATGTTGTAATCGAATTGTAAAGTAATATTATTTGTGCTATCTGGATAATTAAACTTCTTTATATAAAAAAAAAAAAGAAAAAAACGTTCTTTCATCTAAAGCAATTAAAATAAAAATAAAAATAAAACAAATAAGATAAAGAGAGAGGAACAAGGTAAGCCAATCAAAAAGGCTTTAGTCAGTGGCGCGTAAAAATTCCGCGCAAAGGAATTTTTGAATTTGCGAATAAGAACGATTCCGTTTGGTTTGATACGTTGGTGAGTAATGGCGATGGAAACGGTCCACCATGCGCGGATTCGATCGATAAAAGCAACAGCAGCAGCAGCAGCAGCGTCAAATATCGGTGGTAGTATTTGTCATGGTGGCGGGGGTGATGAAGACGACGACAACTACGACGACGACGACACAACGAGAGAGGGTGTTCGTTAAATTTTGTAAAGACCGCGCTTGGTTCGCCATCTATCGGGAAGAATATGAAACATAAACGTATTTTATCTCGTCTACTTTTCATCCCCTCCAATTTCACAAGCTCACTCTCTCTTTCTCTTTTTCGCTCTTTCTGTTTCGCTCATTCATACTCTCTCTTTCTCTCTCTCTCTCTCTCACTCTCTCTCTCTCTTGCTCTGATACGACTCATCGGCGAAGCTTAAAGCGCATCGAAGATGGCGACGGAGGGTAGGGTCGAGCTAGTCGCTTAGAAAGGAAGCTTCCTCCTCGTCGTTTAAACGGCCGTAAACGTCGACGTAATGTCGTATTTGGTAAGTAAGAAGCTTTTCTTCGCGATCTTCTTATAACCGAACATTTTTATTTTAATCATGCTTTTAGCGTAAGAAACTAATTAAGAGATTTTGATTGATATAAGAGAGAGAGAGAGAGAGAGAGAAAGAAAGAGAGAAAATAACATAGAAATAGTGAGATAGACAGAGATAAAGATAAAGATAGAGAAAGAGAGAGAGGAACGGCGGGAAAATGGTGGTAATTCGAAACGATGAAATCTCGAAAACGAATAGTTTTACGCTACATGCCGTTCCTTCCTTCTCTGGGAAGTTCAATGCGCTACGAACTAGTATCGTCGTGCGCGTTGTGTGTGATCAAAAAGAAAATGGGAGCATGATTTATACGCGCGCGTGTATATGTGTGTGTACATATATATATATATATGCATCCATAGAGTACACTTTACCACTGTATACATGATATGTGTATATATATTTAGTTTGATGAGATAGTAACGAACGAGCATGCACACGTGCGTGGTGGATCTTCTTTTTCTCATTCTGTCTCTTTCTTTCTTTCTTTATTTATTTATTTATTTCTTTCTTTATTTCACGAATGAACGAACAAACAAACATATGACTGTCCAGTTAATCTATATAATGCTACGAATGAGTGCGAGAGAGCAAGAGAGAGTATAAAATCGACGCTTCCATTACGCGACGTTGGGCGACGAATCAAAATTTCTTTCCTGACGTCACCCACGCGATCATCCTTCTGATATGGTACATTTACCGACGACATTACGTATGTCGAGCAATCTGATTGGTCGACAATTTGTTCTAACTTTTGATTGCTTTTTCAAATTAATTACAATTATTATTAGATCCGTACATACATATATATATATATATATGTTTGTATGTATATGCATTTATTTGTTTGTTTTAAAATTAATTATGTTTATTATTAGATAAAAGGATAATCGATTTCTGACGATCGAACGATTATTTAAAACACTTTATCGAACGAAATGTTTTCAACGTTATAGGTCACTCTCTCATATGGGGGTATTGAGATTAACATGATTTTAACATTTAATCAAGTTTATTATGTATCTCGAATTTTGATCGAATTCCTATACGCATGAAATTATTTTTATTTGCATGATTTATGCTGTTATTTCTTTTTTTTTTCTTTTTTTGATTTGATTTGTATAAATAAAGAAAAGACAAAGAACAATTTGAATGAAAATTTGAAACTCATCATGGCGTTTGAGTAAAATCAACGACGGAAATTGATCGTCTTATATATTCGTATACTTTCTGATTGAGTCACGCGTAACTTCTATATATTATATACATATAATATTTATAAATATATATTTATATTATATATTAATGTTACAAGTTAATTCTAACATATATACTTATAAGATAATAAATAGATATCATTTATCTAATTGTTATATGTCTTGATAGTATATTATATTTTGATAAATATTACGTTATACTTGTATGCGATAAACTATTTACAAAAACATGCAATAATGTTGTTTTTTTTTTCTTCTAAATTAATTAAATTGTTAATTATTAAATCAACTTGTAATATATATTACACACATATATATGTCATTACACAATTTCATACGATAACTTAAATATATTTGTAATGAGCATGCATGTGATTTACGGATTAATCACAATTGCTGTCTTTAACGTGTTTCTCCAGTCTAGAAAAAAAAAAATAATAATAAAAAAAATAATAGGAATAGACTTTTTTTCTCAGAGTATCGTTGTTGTGTTGTACAATATCTAAGCAACGCTAAAGTTGACCTTTTAAAATCGAATTTACGAGTTTGAACGATTCCTTATACTATTTCTTATTCTTACTCTCTCTTTCTCTCACTCTCTCTCTCTTTCTCTTTATTATTAAAATCTTTATTCAAAGCTTTTCTAACTATCCTAAAAAATAAAAAACAATGTTGGCAAAAGAAAAAAGTCAATAACTGTGCTAACCAAAGACCTAGTTTTTTGTTTGTTTTGTTATTTTTCCTCAATGAAAGAATTAAAACAAAAGGAAGTCCTTTCGTAATATTCCTTTATTTCAGATGGTGGTGGTGGTGGTGTGGGTACTTTTTCCTAACTAGGATTTTTCCCTCAAAAAAAGTAAGAAATGGGATTGATGATGATGATGATGATGATGATAATGTGCTACCGCGATTATTAACTAACAAATTTATTACAATTATCTAAACTTATTATTCGCATTTATTCTTAAGAAGAATTTGTCAGAAGAAAAAGGAGAATAACAATAATAGAACTTTATTAATTAAACGATCAACAACTTATAAGATTTTCTCAATCTGATAATAATAAAAGAAATAGTATGTTTAAAATTTCGAAAAATCTAGTCACACGCAGGGTGAAGAATTGATAAACAACTGTACCATACAAAAAAGAAAAAAGAAAAATCAGAAGATTAATCCAAAGGACCATAGACCAAAGAAAATTCAGTCTGAATGAAAGGAAATTAAAGGATTCCAATTTGGGGATTATATAACTGAAGAGAACTCAAAGAATCAACAAGTTGAAACTTATTCAAAACGATTATTATCAAAAAAGAAACTCATATCGATCTCGTGTTCAAAAATATCAGGTTGTTTATAAACAAAAAAAAAACCAAAAAAAACTGATTTTACTTATCGTAAAATCAAACAGATCACACAAATTAATATAAATTAAAACAAAGAGTATAAAATACTCTTTGCAAAAAGCTTCGATTTTTTATGATTAATCAAATCAAATACAACAAATTCATATAAAATTCCAAATATATATATATATTATAAAGAGAGAGAGAGAGAGAGAGAAAGATAAACAAGTATTATTAATATATACATATATTTATTATTGAGCTGTCCGATGACATATATATAAATATATACCTTTAACACAAATAATATATTTAAAAAAGGAGAAAATTATTCCTAATAGAAAAGACAATTTGGAGCTAAGTCTACGAAGTTGAGGGGGAAAAAGGGAAGTGAAAGGTGATAGGTAGTGACGAGAGGTTGAAAATTAAGAAGAGAAGAGGGTTGAAATGGTACAGAAGTAAAGAGAGAGAGAGAGAGAGAAAGGAGGAAGAGTGTACGATTGAAGAAGAAGAAGAATAAGAAGAAGAAGAAGAAGTAGTAGTAGTAGTAACAGGAGTAGGAGTAAAAGGGAGAAAGAGAAAAAAAGGAGGAGAAAGGGAAGGGGTAGGGCTAGGGGAGAAGGGGAATTAGAGTTTTGTCTGGAAGGGTAGTAAGAGTGCAAAAGCCGGGGAGAAATAAGCGAGCAAGCACACAGGACAGATAGACAGATAGACAGACGGACAGACAGACAGACAGACAGACAGACAGCCAGCCAGTAAAGCAGAGCAAAAGCAGTAGAATAAAGCAGGAACAGAAGAGTAGTAGAAGTAGTAGAATAGAGTGAAAGCTTTAACAAGCAAGATATCGAAGGAAAGTGTGAGCAAGTGAGCAAGAGCAAAAGCAAGAGCAAAAGCAAAAGCACGAAGAGGAGAAGAGAGAAGAGGATAGGAGAGGATAGGACAAGGAACGACGACGAAGAAGAAAAGAGGGAGAAGTAGTGTTATTTGGTGGTTGGAGGGGATGAAACCGGGTTGATATCGACCGAGGATTGCGCTTGCGTGTAAAAAGGCGCGCAATCGCTCTTCCAAAGAGTGAATTTCATTCCATCGTGGTGTGTGGCGTGCGTCACGGGTTAGGATAGTTAAGAGAGAGAAAGAGAATTTTATCAAGGTATCAACTATTATTACTGATCACTCTCATTCTCATTCTTATACTTCTCTCATATTCTCTCTCTCTCTCTCTTTCTCTTTTTTTTCTTTCTTTCTTTCTTTCTTTTCTTGTCCTTGTCCTTCCCTCCCCTTTTACCTTCCTTCTCTTTCTCTCTTTCTTTTTCTAAATGTAAATGTAGACGTTCGACAAAATTTTGGAAAAAAAAAAACAAAAAAAAATTATTAGAATGATTAATTAATCATTGTATTATTAACAAACAAATTGAAGTATTTTAAATAATGTTTTGAATTGAAATGTGACTTTACGTTGTTATTATTATCTATCAATTTTTTTTGATTACGGGTGGCTTTTAATGTTGTTGTTGGTGCTGCTTGGTGATTCCAACGCCTGCACGAGAACCATCCTCTATTAATATTTTTCCTTAATAAATTTAAAGAAAAGAAAGATTTAAAAGAAAGAAAAGTAAGAGAGATCATATTTCTTGGGTTAAGAAAGAAAAACGAAAAAGAAGAAGAAGAAGAAAAGTGAAAATCTTTGAGAAACGAATAGGGGAAGAGAGAGATAAATGATTAAAGAAAAGGAAAAACAAAGAAGAAGAAGAAGAAGAAGAAATTTACGAGAGAAGTTTTAAAATTTATAATCGCAAAATGCGATAAGGAAAATCTGTGATAAGATTGGGTTTCTCTTTCTCTCTTATTCTCTGCCCCTCCTACCCTACCTTCTCTTTCCAAGCATCCCTCTCAAACACGTTGACGTTTAAATGCTCTCTTTCTCTCTCTCTCTCTCTCTCTCTCTCTCCCTTTCTCCCCTCTCTCTCTTTCTTCGCACAGTACAATCAAAGTGCTCTCAAGGAAATAATTCTTCGTCATGACGTTAGTATTAATCAAAAGACAGCTGAATTTGGATAAATGTGATATTATTAATGGTTGTGGTTGGTGTGGTGGTGGTGGTGGTGGTGGTGGTGATGGTGATGATCGTGATTATGTTATCTACACCTCGTTTAACAATTTACCAAGAGTTGAAGAAGAACTTACTAATCTAATCTAATCGAATACAAGAGGACATATACATATATATATATATACACACATTGTATACATATATATGCTGTGTGTGAGTGCGCGTACTGCTGCGTACATGTTAACGTGAAAGAGAGAGTGAGAGAAGAAATAAGAAGAAGTTTTTTTTTAACTTCGTCGATATGTTCTGATAGACGAACCCGGGCGTCGAAGTCTCTCGAGGCTGAGGTGCTCGAAGATTAGTAGTTGTTTATTTTATTTTAATTCTAATCTATATATATTTGAAATTTCCTTTATTTTATTTCCTTCATCTTGTTGTTGGTCTTGCTGGCTTTTGTTTGTGCAATCCTGATCGATCGTTATTGTGATTAACTTGAGTCCTGAACATGATCAATATGCAGCAATTGATCATAGGACAGCAGCAGCAGCAGCAGCAAGTATCTGGTAGTAGCGAGCAACCTCAAGAAGAGGTTCAATTGACCGAACTTTTGCCAGTTAAACAATCACGTATCAGAGAGAACAATGTTTTCAAGGATATCGATGCAACTGACGCGTTAAAAGCATTAAGAAGTTTTTCCGGTGGTAGTTGCAACGACGAGGAACAAGATTATGGATTGAGAAGGATATTTGATTCAAACGAACAACAAAATGACGTGGATGATAAAGTTGAAATGAAAATAAAACGTATATGCGGTGGTGGTGGTAGTAGTAGTAGTAGTAGTAGTAGTAGTATTAAAAGAAAATTAATAAACAATCACGATGCCAATTGTACGGATAAAAAAATAAAAAATAATACAAATAATTATCGCAACGTTAATAATAATGGTAAAAGATCGTTAATGTCTAAGAAAAGAAACTTAGTGAGAAAAAATACCAAAAAGTTAACAACGTCTAATTGTAATAAAATGATCGTTAACAAAATCACCATTAGTGATCGTACTAATGGCAAAATAACTGAGGATGAGGAGGATAATGAATTATCCGTTTTGTACGATGACGAAGAAATTCCAAATTATTTGGATTTGGATAAAACCAAAGACAGTAGTCTTAATGACGAAGTTTACGTGTTTCGTCGAGAAAGATCTAACTCTTGTTCTTTATCGCAAACTTCTAGCGAAGTTAATCACGAAACTACGGATGAAATGTATGCGGATGATTACGAAAGTACCGAAGTAGTCCTAATAAATAAATTTAGGGATCGTGCAAAGAATTTAGATATTAGTACGGACGAATTGAATTCGTCAATATCGGCAGACGAAGAAAGAATAATATCGATGAACGAGGAGGATAATCAAGAAAAAGAATTAAGATTGAAGATAGACGCGATTATCCAAGCCAATTTGTTGGTTGAAAGGGAAAACAACAATGTTGTTAGTCAAGATAGAAGAAAATTAATGAAAGAAAAGAATTCGTCTAGATCATCGCAATCGTCATTGTCACCATCATCACCACCATCATCATCATCTCAAGTATCGACAATAGTAACCGGCGACATTCAAAATAGTTCGAATTTCAGTGACGATGACATCAAAAGATTGGAAGAGGACGTTGTCAACGAATATAATAATCAAAATGATTCATTAGAAAAGAAATATTGTTGTGTAGTTTGCGATGCACGTTTTAAGGGTAGCGGTGGCCTGAGAAATCATTTCAAGGTAGTACACGGTGCCGGGCCAGTTTTCAAATGTGACGAGTGTGGTAAGGAGTTTCCATTGAAGGAACGTTTAAAGCTACATGTTAGAACCCATACCGGTTTTAAACCTTACAAATGTCCGGAATGCGACAAGAGCTTTGCTAGGGGTGGCCAATTGGTTCAACATCGTCGTACCCATAGCCAGGTAAAACCTTATCATTGTGGCCTTTGCTCGGGTACTTTCACTTGTGCGGCAAATCTCGCGTTGCATGTTAAACGACACAACGGTCAAAAGGATCATAAATGTGAAATATGTGGCAGGGGTTTCGTTAGGCGTGACGCTTTGAAGAAACACTTGGAGTGTCTTCACCGTGACGTTAAATCCTTCCTATGCGTTATCTGTAATAAAACTTTCAAAGGACATTTACCGCAACATATGAGAACTCATGCGCGCGACAGACCACACGGTTGTGCCACTTGCGGTCAAAGATTTGCCCAAAAATCACAATTAACTGTACACCAACGTACACATTCGGGACAAAGGCCGTTTCGATGTTTGGTATGTTGGCAAGCCTTCGCACATTCGACGGCATTGAAATTGCACACGAGAAGACACACCGGTGAAAGACCCTTCAAATGCGTCGAATGTAACGCTGGTTTTACCCAATTACCGCATTGGAAAAAACATATGAAATGTATACACGGTAGAAGTGAACCTTACGGTTGCAAACGTTGCAAAAGTTTTTTCCGAATTAAAAGTGACTTAGAGAGTCATGAGAAATCGTGTCATCCAGAACTCGACGGGGGTGGTCCTGATACAGAAGGTTCTTCCTCCAATTCATTTGGTGCAGTTTCGTCGAACGATTCCAACGATAAAGTTACCAATACTACCAAATACAAAACTATGACAGTTGAAAGGATGCGTCTGTTATTGGCCGTACTATTGAAAAGGATCAGCAAACAAGAGAGATTAGATGAGTTGGGTTTTGGTAAACGTCTCATCGATAAAGTCCTACAAGATTCTCTGATATCTGCTGGAAAGGATCCGGCAACTGGTAAAGGTCTAACAGAATTAGAAATTCTTACCAAAAATCTCGAAACTTTTCTCGAGTGGACAGTACCGAAGGAACATTGGGAAAATTTTCGAAGAATGAAAAAAAGTCCCGAAGACATCTTGGAAACTCTCACGGCTACGTAAAAAAAAAACAAAATGATCGACACGAGTGATGATGATACTTTGAGAATAAATTATTATTATTCTCTTTTTTTTTTCTTCATACCATATAAAAAGCATCTTTCCAAATAGTCCAACCACCTACGGACGAAACAATCAAATGAATTATTTTATACGACAAAATGATTTTAATATACGCGTTTCTTTCTTTTTTTTCTTCTTTTTTTCTCTCTCAAATCGTTTGAACAAAAATACAAATCCACCCACCGTACAAAAAATCCTATCCTTGTTTTTTTTTATTTTTTATTTATTTATTTAATTAATTAATATATCAGTTTGTATTTTATTCATTCGATTTTCTAATAGAATGTTATTAGTTTTTTTCTTTCTTCGTACAAATATAGTACACACACACACACACTCACAAATCTTATTTTTAGCGTTTACAAATGACTGCTGATCGTTGAATGAAAACTTTATCATTTTATATTTTAATTGAAACCACCCCCTCTCGTCGTCAAATCATACTCTTCATTAATAAACAAGAACAACGTTAATAACGGCATTAGCAACAGTAATTCATATTTTTATACGTAGAATTGTGAACGAGAGAGAATGATCATCAATTAATTAGTAGAAGTATATACCGACTGAATTTCATGTATTTCGAATAAGAATATAATAGATCGTTATCAATCAATCTCGTTCTTGTGATTAGCACAATATGGTGATAGTTTCGTTAAATTTCAAAACTAAACCAAACTAAACCAAACCAAACCAAACCAAACTAAACTAAACTAAACCAAAGCTAAGACGAAAAGAAAAATAATACAAAAATAAATATTACTGAATTAAATTCAATTAAATTCAAGATGAATGTAAAATATATATTCATATATATATATNTCAAGATGAATGTAAAATATATATTCATATATATATATATATATATATATATATATATATATATATATATACCTGGTGGGCCAAAAGTTTCTAGATGAAATCATTTCATTTATATAAAATTAATTCAAACTATTTATTGACTTGAAATTAAATGATTATGTGCAAGTTTAATTTAAGTTCTAATTTTTGTAATTAATATAACAAAACAAAAATGATCATTGACTCGAGTAACAAAAATTGTACATTTATAATAATTGTTTCTAAAATTGCAAACACGTCTAGAAATATTTAAATCTACCGATTTGGTACACATATTATATATATATATATTGATCCAAAAAAAAAAAAAAATAAACCTTCAATGAAACGATTGTTTTTAACAATATTTCATTGTTTAATAAAGGATTGTTAAAATAAGGGAAGGAAGAGGGAATGAAGAGGACTAAGAGGAGAATTTAAGAAAAAAAAAATCGAGTATAATGATACGTAAAAAATAAAACAAAGAAAAAAAAACACAAATCACATCTATCCTTTTTGGATGTGTGTGACATTGTTAGAGATGAAATGAAATGAAAAAAAAAAAAACCAAAAAGAACTAGAAAAAAAAAACAAAAGTCCTATTATCCTTCTTATTAATGGTGCCATTTTATGAATTATTATACACACACTTGCCATATTGCACCAAAAAAAAAAAAAGAAAATATGATCGATTGTATCAATTTTTGCACAATCTACTTTGTTCATAGTAGATAATTAAATAAGTAGAAAATTATTTGCACTTAATGATGCAAATGTGTGTGACACAGACACACACACACACATGCGCGCACATATTATTAGATCGTTTACGTATAAATAAGTAAATAAATAAATAAATAAATAAATAAAATAATAATAATAATAATACGCGTTTACGCTTTAGAAAAATACGTTTCGTTTCGATTTAATATATATATTTTTTGTGTTCCTTTTTAATTTTATTTTTTTTTTCTTGCCAATCGAAACGCGAAATGTGAATTATATTTTAAACAATAAATATAAAAATAAATGAAATAAAATAATTAAACGAACGAATGAACGAACGCAATGAACACGAAATGTGTTCGTAAGGGGGAAAAAGAATGAAAGAGTTGAATAAAAAATTGGAAAGCACAAATTTGGGATTCATTTTTTCAAATAATTTTTTTCGTAAAGTGCGGATGAGAGACTTTTTTATTCTCTTCTCTCTCCCTCTCTCTTTTTGTTTTTTTTTGTTTTTAATAATAAAAATGAAAATAAAAAAAATAAAAAAATAAATAAAAAAAAACACACAAAGAATTTTGTAAACGTTTGTCACGTTGGATCTCAAGCACTCCTTGCTATTTATATAAAATAAAATAATATAAAATAAAATAAAATAAAATAAAGTAAAATAAAGTAAAAGGATGAAAAATAAAATAAAAGAAAATGAAAAAGAATCGACACGATTTTGAAAAGCACACTTTTTGCACTGTAGTATTTCAAAAGAAATCGCGCGAATCGATTTTTAAATAAATTAAATAAAATATTATATATATAAATAAAAGATAATAGTAACAACTACATCATCATCTCAACAGCATGAAATAAACAAACAAACAAACTAACAAACAAAAACAAGAGGCTAATAGAATTATATCAATATGATTACACTTGCGCGAACAAATACAAAAAATGGTCCAAAAAGAAAAAAAAAAGTGTTGTTATGAACTTATTATAAAAATTAATTACTTATTTTTACTATTTGCCAAAATTATTATAAAATGTGCACAATGTACGAGTTAATTAAGCTGCTTGCATTTCTTTTTTTTTTTTTTTTTTTTTTTTTATAATCGATTAAAATAATTATTCTAAAATTGTATCAAATAATAGTAATTAATTTTTAAAATAGTCTCTTAACAACTTCTGACCCATTTCGTATGTTATGTGTATCTCGTGTTTAAGAATATATAACATATACATACATATATATATAATAATAATAATAATAATAATAATTGTAATAATAAATAGTATATATATATATTATTATAAATATATTACGAGAGATTTCGTTATGTGTTCATCGTTTTATTAACAAAATCGTGATTGGTTATGAAGTTATTTGTTGTTTCTTCATCTTTTATTATTTCTACCATTTTGAACACGGTATTATTATACCAAAAGCTTATAATAAATAAATAAATAAATAAATAAATAAATAAATAAATATATTTATAATACACGCGATACACACACGTATAATATAATATATATATATATACATACACACACATATATATTTACATATATATATATATATGTATGTACGTTAGGTTTGATACCTTTTGTATCGAAACTCGTGTTCGTTTTTAGCTAGGTGGTTAAGTATATTAAATGTGAACAGACAATAATGAAGAAGAAGAAGAAGAAGAAAAAAAATAAAAAGATCGTAATATTAATATTATTTAAATAATATAATAATCTTTGAAAAAAAAAAAAGAAAAAAAAATTTACGTATATACACAAATAAACACGTAAACAAAATACACGCGCGTAATTGGATTAGCATTTAGTGCCATTTTAGAATATTATATTAACGTTTTAATGACGAACGAGAGTGAGAAATCATTAAAAAAAAAAAAAATAAATAAATAAAAAATAAACATAAAAACAAAATAACATGTATTGCAATTGAAATCTGTTTGTTTTTTTAATTATTTGTCATTTTAATTTTTATCGCAATCGAACTAACAACACAACCAAAGCAAAATATATATCTCGATGATAATGTATTTTTTATTAACAAACTATCGTCGGGAAGGTTGTGAGGAGCTTGACTCACACATGTAGCTGACAAAAATGAACGAAATGAGTTGAAAGCACTTTTTGCACTTTTTAATAAACATGTTAAATCTTCACATCTAATAATAGGATTTCAATGAAATCTGAAAAATAGGTATCAAATATTAGGTGGTTCGCGGAAAGATCAAAAGTTTCGTTTTTTTTTTTTTTTTGTAAAAATGAAGATAATTTTTGCTTCGAGATTAAACCTAAACCTTTCAAGTGGTCATAAATGGTTACATTTGATAAATTTAACCACTCGATCGATCTCATGTGTTACTATTTGTCAATTTGTATCAACTAATGTCATTACTGCGTTAGCAAAAAACGAAACGACTTTTTGAATCACCTAAAATAGTATTTCGAAAATGTAGAAAACTGAAACTCTCAATGTTATCAAAATCAATCAACTGAAAATTATGCTACTTCGTAAGCACGAAATTTGCAATGTCAAAATAACACATTTCATCAAATTATTAATTTTTCTTAAAAATATAATCAATTTAGGATTAAACATTGATCAAGTTTGACAAAAAACAAGCAAAAACATCATTACTGTTCAACAATTAGTGAAAATGAAAAAACAAAACAAAAAAATCAAGCATTATTAAGTGTTTTACTGAAACTTAGCTTACATTCTGTATAAAACGTATTAATACGTGACCCGCCGACCAGTGTCAGTCTGTAGAACGGATAGAAATACCCGACCCGCTCGGATAGTGCGTTAATAATAATCGGTTCCACGTAATTGTTAGATTTTAAATTTACAACCTTAGTTTTATACATTTGTTCTTTCTTTTTTTTTTTTTTTTT